ATTGTGGATGCCACAGATTTTCGCCCTTTGTGGGGGCGGAAGTGGGCGGGGCAAAGTTTTGAAATATTTTTGGAGCAGTGACATATCACAGAAGTCTGGATCCAAAACATCGTTGCTCTAGCTCTTATAGTCTTTGAGCATTAGGCGCTGAAGGGGACGGACAGACGGACAGACGGACGGACGGACAGACGGACAGACGGACGGACGGACAGACAGACATGGCTCAATCGACTCGGCTATTGATGCTGATCAAGAATATATATACTTTATGGGGTCGGAAACGATTCCTTCTGGACGTTACACACATCCACTTTTACCACAAATCTAATATACCCCAATACTCATTTTGAGTATCGGGTATAAAAATCGGAAAAAAGAAAGGAAAACGAGGGGGAACGTTGTGAGTTGCTGCGGACACCGCAACTCTACGGTTATACCCGATACTAAGTCAGTATGGCTCTCCTCCGGCAGAGGCCGCTAATATTAAACGACACGACAAAGAGTGCGTGCGAGAGAGACAGAAAATCAGTCTGAGCGTGACGTCGGGCGCTGCGTAGCCAATGCAAATTGATTTGTTCCTTTTGGCTACAAAAATTATCTGATCTAATCCAAATTCAGCAACCGGATAGATATAGTCATTCTCTATGATTCTGCGTTTTTAGTTTTCTCGAATCTGCAATATTGTGGATGCAACAGATTTTCGTCTTTGTGGGGGCGGATGGGGGTGGGGCGAAATTCTGAGATATACGTTTTATAGTGACATCTTAAAGGAGTGTGTGTACTAAATTTGGTTACTCTAGCCGTAATAGTCTCTGAGATTTGTGGTTGCCTCAGATTTTCGTCCTTTGCGGGGCGGAAGGGGGTGTGGCGAAATTTGGACATGAAACGGTCAAGGTCCGATATCACAGGAGTGTGGATACCAAATTTGGTTGCTCTGGCTTTATAGGTTCTGAGATCCTTGAACTCATATTTGGCAATTGGCAAAACCGACTATGAAACCTGTGTGTTAGAGTGAGACAGAGCGAGAAAGAGTGAAATTGTTTTCGTGATTCTGGCTGTAATAATTGTACGATCTGGTTCAGATTTTGCACTTTAGAAGATTTAGTCATCTTCTACGATTCTGCGTTTTTAGTTTTCTCGTATCGTCGAAATTGTGGATGCCACAGATTTTCGCCCTTTGTGGGGGCGGAAGTGGGCGGGGCAAAGTTTTGAAATATTTTTGGAGCAGTGACATATCACAGAAGTCTGGATCCAAAACATCGTTGCTCTAGCTCTTATAGTCTTTGAGCATTAGGCGCTGAAGGGGACGGACAGACGGACAGACGGACGGACGGACAGACGGACAGACGGACGGACAGACAGACATGGCTCAATCGACTCGGCTATTGATGCTGATCAAGAATATATATACTTTATGGGGTCGGAAACGATTCCTTCTGGACGTTACACACATCCACTTTTACCACAAATCTAATATACCCCAATACTCATTTTGAGTATCGGGTATAAAAATCGGAAAAAAGAAAGGAAAACGAGGGGGAACGTTGTGAGTTGCTGCGGACACCGCAACTCTACGGTTATACCCGATACTAAGTCAGTATGGCTCTCCTCCGGCAGAGGCCGCTAATATTAAACGACACGACAAAGAGTGCGTGCGAGAGAGACAGAAAATCAGTCTGAGCGTGACGTCGGGCGCTGCGTAGCCAATGCAAATTGATTTGTTCCTTTTGGCTACAAAAATTATCTGATCTAATCCAAATTCAGCAACCGGATAGATATAGTCATTCTCTATGATTCTGCGTTTTTAGTTTTCTCGAATCTGCAATATTGTGGATGCAACAGATTTTCGTCCTTTTGTGGGGGCGGATGGGGGTGGGGCGAAATTCTGAGATATACGTTTTATAGTGACATCTTAAAGGAGTGTGTGTACCTAAATTTGGTTACTCTAGCCTTAATAGTCTCTGAGATTTGTGGTTGCCTCAGATTTTCGTCCTTTGCGGGGGCGGAAGGGGGTGTGGCGAAATTTGGACATGAAACGGTCAAGGTCCGATATCACAGGAGTGTGGATACCAAATTTGGTTGCTCTGGCTTTTATAGGTTCTGAGATCCTTGAACTCATATTTGGCAATTGGCAAAACCGACTATGAAACCTGTGTGTTAGAGTGAGACAGAGCGAGAAAGAGTGAAATTGTTTTCGTGATTCTGGCTGTAATAATTGTACGATCTGGTTCAGATTTTGCACTTTAGAAGATTTAGTCATCTTCTACGATTCTGCGTTTTTAGTTTTCTCGTATCGTCGAAATTGTGGATGCCACAGATTTTCGCCCTTTGTGGGGGCGGAAGTGGGCGGGGCAAAGTTTTGAAATATTTTTGGAGCAGTGACATATCACAGAAGTCTGGATCCAAAACATCGTTGCTCTAGCTCTTATAGTCTTTGAGCATTAGGCGCTGAAGGGGACGGACAGACGGACAGACGGACGGACGGACAGACGGACAGACGGACGGACAGACAGACATGGCTCAATCGACTCGGCTATTGATGCTGATCAAGAATATATATACTTTATGGGGTCGGAAACGATTCCTTCTGGACGTTACACACATCCACTTTTACCACAAATCTAATATACCCCAATACTCATTTTGAGTATCGGGTATAAAAATCGGAAAAAAGAAAGGAAAACGAGGGGGAACGTTGTGAGTTGCTGCGGACACCGCAACTCTACGGTTATACCCGATACTAAGTCAGTATGGCTCTCCTCCGGCAGAGGCCGCTAATATTAAACGACACGACAAAGAGTGCGTGCGAGAGAGACAGAAAATCAGTCTGAGCGTGACGTCGGGCGCTGCGTAGCCAATGCAAATTGATTTGTTCCTTTTGGCTACAAAAATTATCTGATCTAATCCAAATTCAGCAACCGGATAGATATAGTCATTCTCTATGATTCTGCGTTTTTAGTTTTCTCGAATCTGCAATATTGTGGATGCAACAGATTTTCGTCTTTGTGGGGGCGGATGGGGGTGGGGCGAAATTCTGAGATATACGTTTTATAGTGACATCTTAAAGGAGTGTGTGTACTAAATTTGGTTACTCTAGCCGTAATAGTCTCTGAGATTTGTGGTTGCCTCAGATTTTCGTCCTTTGCGGGGGCGGAAGGGGGTGTGGCGAAATTTGGACATGAAACGGTCAAGGTCCGATATCACAGGAGTGTGGATACCAAATTTGGTTGCTCTGGCTTTATAGGTTCTGAGATCCTTGAACTCATATTTGGCAATTGGCAAAACCGACTATGAAACCTGTGTGTTAGAGTGAGACAGAGCGAGAAAGAGTGAAATTGTTTTCGTGATTCTGGCTGTAATAATTGTACGATCTGGTTCAGATTTTGCACTTTAGAAGATTTAGTCATCTTCTACGATTCTGCGTTTTTAGTTTTCTCGTATCGTCGAAATTGTGGATGCCACAGATTTTCGCCCTTTGTGGGGGCGGAAGTGGGCGGGGCAAAGTTTTGAAATATTTTTGGAGCAGTGACATATCACAGAAGTCTGGATCCAAAACATCGTTGCTCTAGCTCTTATAGTCTTTGAGCATTAGGCGCTGAAGGGGACGGACAGACGGACAGACGGACGGACGGACAGACGGACAGACGGACGGACGGACAGACAGACATGGCTCAATCGACTCGGCTATTGATGCTGATCAAGAATATATATACTTTATGGGGTCGGAAACGATTCCTTCTGGACGTTACACACATCCACTTTTACCACAAATCTAATATACCCCAATACTCATTTTGAGTATCGGGTATAAAAATCGGAAAAAAGAAAGGAAAACGAGGGGGAACGTTGTGAGTTGCTGCGGACACCGCAACTCTACGGTTATACCCGATACTAAGTCAGTATGGCTCTCCTCCGGCAGAGGCCGCTAATATTAAACGACACGACAAAGAGTGCGTGCGAGAGAGACAGAAAATCAGTCTGAGCGTGACGTCGGGCGCTGCGTAGCCAATGCAAATTGATTTGTTCCTTTTGGCTACAAAAATTATCTGATCTAATCCAAATTCAGCAACCGGATAGATATAGTCATTCTCTATGATTCTGCGTTTTTAGTTTTCTCGAATCTGCAATATTGTGGATGCAACAGATTTTCGTCTTTGTGGGGGCGGATGGGGGTGGGGCGAAATTCTGAGATATACGTTTTATAGTGACATCTTAAAGGAGTGTGTGTACTAAATTTGGTTACTCTAGCCGTAATAGTCTCTGAGATTTGTGGTTGCCTCAGATTTTCGTCCTTTGCGGGGCGGAAGGGGGTGTGGCGAAATTTGGACATGAAACGGTCAAGGTCCGATATCACAGGAGTGTGGATACCAAATTTGGTTGCTCTGGCTTTTATAGGTTCTGAGATCCTTGAACTCATATTTGGCAATTGGCAAAACCGACTATGAAACCTGTGTGTTAGAGTGAGACAGAGCGAGAAAGAGTGAAATTGTTTTCGTGATTCTGGCTGTAATAATTGTACGATCTGGTTCAGATTTTGCACTTTAGAAGATTTAGTCATCTTCTACGATTCTGCGTTTTTAGTTTTCTCGTATCGTCGAAATTGTGGATGCCACAGATTTTCGCCCTTTGTGGGGGCGGAAGTGGGCGGGGCAAAGTTTTGAAATATTTTTGGAGCAGTGACATATCACAGAAGTCTGGATCCAAAACATCGTTGCTCTAGCTCTTATAGTCTTTGAGCATTAGGCGCTGAAGGGGACGGACAGACGGACGGACAGACGGACAGACGGACAGACGGACGGACGGACAGACAGACATGGCTCAATCGACTCGGCTATTGATGCTGATCAAGAATATATATACTTTATGGGGTCGGAAACGATTCCTTCTGGACGTTACACACATCCACTTTTACCACAAATCTAATATACCCCAATACTCATTTTGAGTATCGGGTATAAAATCGGAAAAAAGAAAGGAAACGACGCCGCGGGTATCAGGCTATGGGCGATACGCAAAGTCGGCGGCAGGCGTACCAGGTCGAACGTGAGGAGCGAAGGGCGAATAGGAGTAGGTCCCCGGAGCTACAGTTATTGGCCTCACCGCTAGTGTCAACCGCGGGATCCATGGGACCGACGGTGTCCCCGGTGGTATCGCCGGGGTACACTGAGGCGGAAAGTGACCTGGAGTTGGTGAGCTGGGAGCGGGCGCCACGGAGAAAACGCGCACGCGAGGCGAAGCGCGAGGAGCCCCATACCAGCAAGCACGAGGAGCCCCGCGCCAGCAAACATGAGGAGCCCCGGTCCAGCAGACGCGAGGAGCCCCACACCGGCAAGCGCGAGCAGCCCCACGTCAGCAAACGCGAGGAGCGGTCTGAGGGAGGCAGGAAGGGGCGCACGGAGACGCGGAACGAGGAGCCCAGTGAGCGGGCATCGAAGCGGGCGTCCACGCGTTCGACGCGTACGGCCAAGGGAGAGGAGCCGTCGGCACGCACAAGGGGAAGATCGACAGCGTGGCGAGGGGACCAGCGGCCGACAAACCCACAGGTCGAGGAGCCGCAGCCAACGCCGACCGAAAACGCGGTCAAAGAGCCGCAGACAACCGCAGGCCAAGAGGCTGAAGGCCACACAGGAGTCTGAAAAGGCGGCGCAAGAAGCGGAAGCGGAGCGCCAGTGTATTAGCCGGATCAACGCAGCGGAGCAAAGGGAGATGGCGCGTCTACGTGCGGAAACGGAGGAGGCAAGGGCGACGCGGACGGAGGGCGCGGCAGACGGGCTGGCGGTGATCTCCAGCGATGAGGAGGAGGCGGAGTGCCCACCAGCGCCGAAGGAGGCTCGAGTCCAGTCGCCCGAAGAGGAGTGGCAGGAGAGGCTGCGACGAGCCGAGGTGGAGGAGGAAGAGCTCTGGCAACCACCCCCTAAACACGTCGAGTCCGAGGAGGAGCCGCGGCCGCAGACCGCAGACCGCAGAAGAGCTGTTCCAGCGTCGGACGCCGGCTGACAACGCGCACGGCCAAGATCAACAGCAGCAGCAGCATCAGCAGCGGCAGTAGCAGCAGCAGCAGAAGCAGCATCAGCATCAGCCGCCATCGGGCCGTTCGTCTCACATGAGGTGCGCTCCGCGGTACGAGACGGCATGATGTGGCACGTGCAAACGCTGCACATATCGTGGGCCTCTGGGCCAGCGCCCCAGCAGCCCGAGCAAGAGGCGAAGGAGGCTCGACTGTGGGAGCGACGAGCGGGATCCGAGGCGGCGGGCACGGCCACAGGAGTCAACAGGCCCAGCGGTGGCACCCACAGCCGAAGAGGTGCCCGAGGGGACGGCAGAGGGCGAGACGGAGGGAACGACGAACACGCCGACATCACTGGCGGCGGAGGGCCCAGCGGCGGCACCCAAAGTCGAGGTGATGACCGACGGCGAAGCGGATGACGGCGCGAAAGCAACGGCGGAAGCGAAGAAGGACGCGGCCGCGGAACAACACTCACAACGAGGGGGAACGTTGTGAGTTGCTGCGGACACCGCAACTCTACGGTTATACCCGATACTAAGTCAGTATGGCTCTCCTCCGGCAGAGGCCGCTAATATTAAACGACACGACAAAGAGTGCGTGCGAGAGAGACAGAAAATCAGTCACGAGGGGGAACGTTGTGAGTTGCTGCGGACACCGCAACTCTACGGTTATACCCGATACTAAGTCAGTATGGCTCTCCTCCGGCAGAGGCCGCTAATATTAAACGACACGACAAAGAGTGCGTGCGAGAGAGACAGAAAATCAGTCTGAGCGTGACGTCGGGCGCTGCGTAGCCAATGCAAATTGATTTGTTCCTTTTGGCTACAAAAATTATCTGATCTAATCCAAATTCAGCAACCGGATAGATATAGTCATTCTCTATGATTCTGCGTTTTTAGTTTTCTCGAATCTGCAATATTGTGGATGCAACAGATTTTCGTCTTTTGTGGGGGCGGATGGGGGTGGGGCGAAATTCTGAGATATACGTTTTATAGTGACATCTTAAAGGAGTGTGTGTACTAAATTTGGTTACTCTAGCCGTAATAGTCTCTGAGATTTGTGGTTGCCTCAGATTTTCGTCCTTTGCGGGGCGGAAGGGGGTGTGGCGAAATTTGGACATGAAACGGTCAAGGTCCGATATCACAGGAGTGTGGATACCAAATTTGGTTGCTCTGGCTTTTATAGGTTCTGAGATCCTTGAACTCATATTTGGCAATTGGCAAAACCGACTATGAAACCTGTGTGTTAGAGTGAGACAGAGCGAGAAAGAGTGAAATTGTTTTCGTGATTCTGGCTGTAATAATTGTACGATCTGGTTCAGATTTTGCACTTTAGAAGATTTAGTCATCTTCTACGATTCTGCGTTTTTAGTTTTCTCGTATCGTCGAAATTGTGGATGCCACAGATTTTCGCCCTTTGTGGGGGCGGAAGTGGGCGGGGCAAAGTTTTGAAATATTTTTGGAGCAGTGACATATCACAGAAGTCTGGATCCAAAACATCGTTGCTCTAGCTCTTATAGTCTTTGAGCATTAGGCGCTGAAGGGGACGGACAGACGGACAGACGGACGGACGGACAGACGGACAGACGGACAGACGGACGGACGGACAGACAGACATGGCTCAATCGACTCGGCTATTGATGCTGATCAAGAATATATATACTTTATGGGGTCGGAAACGATTCCTTCTGGACGTTACACACATCCACTTTTACCACAAATCTAATATACCCCAATACTCATTTTGAGTATCGGGTATAAAAATCGGAAAAAAGAAAGGAAAACGAGGGGGAACGTTGTGAGTTGCTGCGGACACCGCAACTCTACGGTTATACCCGATACTAAGTCAGTATGGCTCTCCTCCGGCAGAGGCCGCTAATATTAAACGACACGACAAAGAGTGCGTGCGAGAGAGACAGAAAATCAGTCTGAGCGTGACGTCGGGCGCTGCGTAGCCAATGCAAATTGATTTGTTCCTTTTGGCTACAAAAATTATCTGATCTAATCCAAATTCAGCAACCGGATAGATATAGTCATTCTCTATGATTCTGCGTTTTTAGTTTTCTCGAATCTGCAATATTGTGGATGCAACAGATTTTCGTCTTTTGTGGGGGCGGATGGGGGTGGGGCGAAATTCTGAGATATACGTTTTATAGTGACATCTTAAAGGAGTGTGTGTACTAAATTTGGTTACTCTAGCCGTAATAGTCTCTGAGATTTGTGGTTGCCTCAGATTTTCGTCCTTTGCGGGGCGGAAGGGGGTGTGGCGAAATTTGGACATGAAACGGTCAAGGTCCGATATCACAGGAGTGTGGATACCAAATTTGGTTGCTCTGGCTTTTATAGGTTCTGAGATCCTTGAACTCATATTTGGCAATTGGCAAAACCGACTATGAAACCTGTGTGTTAGAGTGAGACAGAGCGAGAAAGAGTGAAATTGTTTTCGTGATTCTGGCTGTAATAATTGTACGATCTGGTTCAGATTTTGCACTTTAGAAGATTTAGTCATCTTCTACGATTCTGCGTTTTTAGTTTTCTCGTATCGTCGAAATTGTGGATGCCACAGATTTTCGCCCTTTGTGGGGGCGGAAGTGGGCGGGGCAAAGTTTTGAAATATTTTTGGAGCAGTGACATATCACAGAAGTCTGGATCCAAAACATCGTTGCTCTAGCTCTTATAGTCTTTGAGCATTAGGCGCTGAAGGGGACGGACAGACGGACAGACGGACGGACGGACAGACGGACAGACGGACAGACGGACGGACGGACAGACAGACATGGCTCAATCGACTCGGCTATTGATGCTGATCAAGAATATATATACTTTATGGGGTCGGAAACGATTCCTTCTGGACGTTACACACATCCACTTTTACCACAAATCTAATATACCCCAATACTCATTTTGAGTATCGGGTATAAAAATCGGAAAAAAGAAAGGAAAACGAGGGGGAACGTTGTGAGTTGCTGCGGACACCGCAACTCTACGGTTATACCCGATACTAAGTCAGTATGGCTCTCCTCCGGCAGAGGCCGCTAATATTAAACGACACGACAAAGAGTGCGTGCGAGAGAGACAGAAAATCAGTCTGAGCGTGACGTCGGGCGCTGCGTAGCCAATGCAAATTGATTTGTTCCTTTTGGCTACAAAAATTATCTGATCTAATCCAAATTCAGCAACCGGATAGATATAGTCATTCTCTATGATTCTGCGTTTTTAGTTTTCTCGAATCTGCAATATTGTGGATGCAACAGATTTTCGTCTTTTGTGGGGGCGGATGGGGGTGGGGCGAAATTCTGAGATATACGTTTTATAGTGACATCTTAAAGGAGTGTGTGTACTAAATTTGGTTACTCTAGCCGTAATAGTCTCTGAGATTTGTGGTTGCCTCAGATTTTCGTCCTTTGCGGGGCGGAAGGGGGTGTGGCGAAATTTGGACATGAAACGGTCAAGGTCCGATATCACAGGAGTGTGGATACCAAATTTGGTTGCTCTGGCTTTTATAGGTTCTGAGATCCTTGAACTCATATTTGGCAATTGGCAAAACCGACTATGAAACCTGTGTGTTAGAGTGAGACAGAGCGAGAAAGAGTGAAATTGTTTTCGTGATTCTGGCTGTAATAATTGTACGATCTGGTTCAGATTTTGCACTTAGAAGATTAGTCATCTTCTACGATTCTGCGTTTTTAGTTTTCTCGTATCGTCGAAATTGTGGATGCCACAGATTTTCGCCCTTTGTGGGGGCGGAAGTGGGCGGGGCAAAGTTTTGAAATATTTTTGGAGCAGTGACATATCACAGAAGTCTGGAGCCAAAACATCGTTGCTCTAGCTCTTATAGTCTTTGAGCACTAGGCGCTGAAGGGGACGGACAGACGGACGGACGGACAGACGGACAGACGGACGGACGGACAGACAGACATGGCTCAATCGACTCGGCTATTGATGCTGATCAAGAATATATATACTTTATGGGGTCGGAAACGATTCCTTCTGGACGTTACACACATACACTTTTACCACAAATCTAATATACCCCAATACTCATTTTGAGTATCGGGTATAAAAAAAAGGATGGAAAGGGGGAACCGAAGGAAAGCTAACAAAACCAGGGTGCACCCTAGGGTTAACGCGGCGAGAGGCGCGGATAATTTTCAAAACGGGAGCGAGCGAGAGAGCCAGCTGGAAGGCAAGAGAGAGCCATCCCACGGGCCCATGTAAGGCACCGTTACAGGGAACGGTGAGCACCGGCACGAGCCCTTATAAAGAAGGGAGCAGCGCACGATCAGGTCTTTTCAAAAAAAGTTGACCACGTGCAAAAAAAAGGGTAAGATGCAGCAGCACTTAATGAGATATATAACAGAGCAGCGGAAATGGATTCGCCGCGGGTATCAGGCTATGGGCGATACGCAAAGTCGGCGGCAGGCGTACCAGGTCGAACGTGAGGAGCGAAGGGCGAATAGGTCCCCGGAGCTACAGTTATTGGCCTCACCGCTAGTGTCAACCGCGGGATCCATGGGACCGACGGTGTCCCCGGTGGTATCGCCGGGGTACACTGAGGCGGAAAGTGACCTGGAGTTGGTGAGCTGGGAGCGGGCGCCACGGAGAAAACGCGCACGCGAGGCGAAGCGCG